AAAACAATTAAAGACCTGAAATATTTCAGTTGGTGTGCAATGAATCTGAAATATATGAAAGTTTCATTTTTATCATTACATTATGGAAAATAATGACCTTTATCACAATATGATAATTTTTTGAGAAGGACCTGTATGTCACTCACTCAACTGAATCGGAGTAGCCCTGACAGAGGTGTTCAGTCTGGGCTCCTTCAGGACCATTTGAAAGCAGTTCAGTGTTTTTATCTCAGATATTCTTCAGTGTGTTTGTGTTTGGGTTCTTTGTTCTGTTGAAAGACCAGTGTGCTGCCACTGAGACTAAGGCCCTGTACACACGTAGCCGGATATCAGGAAAACCGAATAGTTTATCATGCGGTGTGGCCTTTCATCCACACGTGAACTCTGGTTGATGTAACTATAAACGAATAATAACAAAAACTCCGACCAAAGTGGAGATTTGAGAAATCTCCTCTTTCGGGTTTGCGTGTGGACTTTCGGAACCGGAGATATGCGCATTATGTCTGCGACAGATGGTGCAGCGCGGCGCTGACGTCACATGTGCGACAATTGTTTTTGTTTGCCCATTCATTCGGAGGGAAAATGACTGCGTTTAGGGAAGTACTAATTGTAACGCTGGTTCAGGCAATTTTTGCTTGCTTGTTTTTACAAGCACAACTGCTCCAACAGATGGAATTACAAAGGAGAAAAAGCGCTTGGCGTTCAGCTCTTTTACAGCACGGTATTTAATAGTAGTTCAACCTCGCGGTCTGTCCACACAAACGAACCTCCAGGCGCCATGATTCAATACTAACAGGAAGTTGTGGTTGCTTTGAAGGGTTGTGATTGGCTGATATACGTTTCACCTTTGCACTACACTGCCTCCTATGGGTTGGGCATATTCTTTACAACGCTCTGTGGTGAACATCACCAGGTTCATGTAGACGATCATTTTCTCTATCCGAACATGTATGTACGGCGATATTTTTTTGCGCAGATATTCGTTTTTTCAAACACCAGGCTACGTGTGTACAGGGCCTAAGCTTGCTGACACTGGGCAGCATGTTTTGCTCCAGGATACCTTAATGTTTGTGATATTTTATTATGCACTATAATCTCTTTAATATAATAATATTACAATTAGAGGATGACACAGGAGTGGATTTTCACTCCTGTCCTGTCCTGGTCCCACAGAAAAAAATCCTGTCCTGTCCCACTCCTGGTAACATGACTCCTGCTCCTGTTTTTCATTTAACTTTTAGGAAATACATTGAATTTGATTTGATCTTCTACCCATTCCTGTTTAAATTACTTTGTGTTGTGCAGTTTTATTTCAAAAGATATGTTAACAGGAACAGTTCATCTGTGGTGAAATAGAGACATTTATTTCCTTAATCCAAACAAAAACCTTCACTAAATGTCATAAAACAAATAATCCATGGTCTGTAGTCCATATAATTATTCTACAGAGGATCAGCTGCTGAGTCTGTTTCTGGCTCTTTTGAAGGTCAGTTCCAGTAAAAACAAAAAATCTAAACCAGTCCATGGGTCACACCATGTCTACCTTAGATGAAAGAACCCAAACACAACAAGTTGCATTTTACTAATTTATTGAACAATTGTTTCCTTTAAACAGTGACATCACTGTCATGTTTTAAATTGTTTAAACAGACAAACAAATAAATAAAAATAATGTACCAAGCAGAGAACTCAACAAATAAAAATGTTTAAAGGCGTTATTCTACATTGGACGACGTCCTCCAGAAGTTCAGTGTGTGTGGTCGAGGTAACGAGCTCGTTTGGGTGAAGCATGATGTCGTGCATCTTCCCAGACTTCAGAGCATCATTTACAGACTGGACCATTGCAGGTCTGGTGTTCCACCTCATCTCTCCACAGCTGGACCAGTCCAGAGCCTTGTGGAACCTAAAAGTGACAGAAGACGTGCACGAGTCAAAATAGTGTTACAGTGACTACAAGTTACAATCTGTTGGTCTTTCTTTTGGAAAAAAATATTTTACCAAAAACAAGAGATTTACAATTTAAATTAAGTCAAGAAAATGTGACCTTTGCAATTATAAATAACAGAAGCTCAATTTTTCTTTATTTATTTCACTTATCATATTTTATAATTATTTAATGAGCCTCCCAGGCAGAGATTACAAGATGTTATGTATCTTACCTGCTCTGTTGAAGTGTGTGACAAGGGTCTTTGTGTCCAAAGCTGTTTAACAGTTTGCTTCCAGAGCTAACAGCTTCCTGTGTTAGGTAGAAAAATTAAATAAAATTAAAGACAAACAAAAAGCTTAGTGCTACTTCTTCTTGTGCCATGCTTTATAAAACAGTTATTGAATAAAGTATTTACTTATGTAGGTAAACATAAATGTTTTAAACCTGTTAAAATACACCAGAATGCAGGAAATAGCAGCTGCTTTATACAAAAAGTTATGGGGGAGGACCCACAGACCTCGCACCAATATGTCCCCCTACAATAATTCTAATGCTAATCCACTGTGTGGTTCAAGCCAAGAGCCGTTGTCAACACTGGGGGGCTAAGGCCCCTAAAAAGGGCTTCTAGAATCACCCCTGGTGTGAAGAAATGAACTGAGAAAAATCAACTCTAAAATTTAACACAACATAATTGTACACATCATATCTTAAATCTAAATCTAAAACAGTTATTATAATATATATGCAACCAGCCTTTCATATAAAAACTGGGATATTTTTACCGGAGAATGCGTGCACTACCGAGTTTATTGTTATACTGACATGGCTTGCGGTCGACAGTAACTATTTACTCAATAAAGTGAAGGTTATTCACGTTTTTCTTGATTTCAGTATCCAGCAGGACTTCACAGTATAAAAATAGGAATATTTTTACCGGAGAATGCGTGCACTTTAAACAGGTAGAGTTCTGTTGTTTTTTTACATTACAAACAGCGACAGATAATGAAGATTTTAACCTAAAAACCCACATAACAAAGCAGAGCATAATTTTTAAATTAAAAGGGACAAGGTGGAGAAAAATGTGCTGTTTGAGTTTATTTACTGACGGTAAACAAAGCAGCTCCTCACAGCTGAGACTAAAGTTTAAAGCAGCACAGCACCAACACAACTCATGAAGTTCAGGTTATTTGACACTTTCCTGCCTGTTCTGTGAGTTTAATAGACAGACACTTACTTCTTACCTTGCGTTGCAAACTATTTTCAGTTACTTGGTACCACTTCGCTGCTCCTCCTCCTCTCAGTGAAAAGCTACGGCTCGAACACATGACTCCTGGGAAATGTAGTCCTTTTGACTTGTGTTAAAGTGAAGGCTTACTGAAAGAAAACTACAAAATAGCTGTGCCCGTGTTTTTTTTTTTTTGTTTGTTTCATTTTCATTTTTGGTTAATGGTCGGTTCCCGCTCCTGTCTGCTCCCGTTAGCTTTCAGTCCGGTCATGTCCCGGTCACCTGAGTTATAATGAGGTTGACTCCGGTCCCGCCAGAATCTGGCCGGAATCACGTGACCGGCAGTACTCCCGAAAAAATGTCATCCTCTAATTACAATCACATAATCCCTATAGAATAATTTATTCAGATGGTCTTTGCAGAGACATAGTCGAGTGAAGTATGAATGTGTGTGTGGCTAAACGAGGGCACAGATTGTGTTGTAAAGTGCTGGTTGGATAGAAAGGTGCTTTGTATGTACAGTCAGTTTACTGTCAGGGGATTTTGGTCAAGGTCAACGATGTTTGCCACTAACTAATGTTAAATTAATGTTGAAGCATGTGTGTGAGTTTAGAGACTTCTTTTCTCTCAGAGAGGACTTGATTTGATCCTGCATGTACAGCTGAGAGGCTGAGGTCATCACGGACTGTCTTTGAGCTATGATGGTTGCTAAGCATGTATTATATAAACTATTCTCGCACTCACTGCTGGTGCATCTCACGACCGGGCTTCAGTGAGGCATCTGTGTAAGCCTTTAGTGTGTCGGCCCTTTCAAGAACAAAACCGGTTAAATATCTTCTCGTGTCCTCAAGTGTGTTCTTGGAGTAATTAAGATGAATAGAGGATATTTTTATCCAATATTTAACATTTACCATTTCTTTTTTTTTCTCAGTCCTCTTCTGCTTCAAGTAAAAAGTCTAAAAGAAGATCTTCAGAAAGGTAATCAAAATATTATATAAAACATTTAGAGTCTAAAAGAATGAACAAATTGTGTTTATATCACTGCTTGTTGCTCTTTCAGTAATCATAAGGATGAATAAGGAAAACACTCGGCAGGAACAAGTGGGCTACTTTCTGAGCCACAAAGGTTTTTTTTTGTTGACGAGATTTTTTAAAGAAACTAATTATTTGTTTTTTGTATACACATTGGTAATAGCTCCTACATGAACTGTCTGAGACATCAAACCTTCAGTGACTGATCCACATCCAGTCCCCTGCGAGAATGAATAGTCAAATCAAGACATCACTTAAGCCAGGCCCCCTGACAACAGGAAGTGTAAAGTTTTACGATGAACGGTCTCTATCTGACCCCTGTGACGTAATCAGCGTGATAGTGTGTCCAGTGACCGAAGACATGTTGGTGTAACTTGGTTTCCAACACTGACAGTTTTCGGTGGAGGATGTGGACGTGGCGGCATGGCAAAGTATGACATAATGCTGTCTCCATACGTTTGGCTCTAAATTCCACAGATTTTAACCGAGGTGCACATAAATCACATGAGACCAATCAAACTCTTGTTGGGGAACCTGCAACCAAGAAAAAATGTTGGGTATCTAACTTTACTTAATGTACATTCTGAAATCGGCCCTTAGGTTGTTTTCACACCTGATAGTACGGTAGACTCGGTTCGGTTGGGGACCAATATTCATGACATTTTGTTTACAGGTCCTTCTCAAAAAATTATCATATTGTGATAAAGGTCATTATTTTCCATAATGTAATGATAAAAATGAAACTTTCATATATTTTAGATTCATTGCACACCAACTGAAATATTTCAGGTCTTTAATTGTTTT